TCTCCCACACTACAGTAAAAATACCTCCACAACACACCACTAAAAACATACGGCGCACAATAGTGACAACGAGCAGGTGGCAGCAGATACCAGAGAGCAAATCTTCTACAATAGCAGGTGTTTCCTGCTGCAGTCATTCGGTGTTTAATGCCTTTATGGCACAGGAATAAAAGACTTCTTGTCCATGTTCCGGAGCTTTCTGCATCTTTGTGTCTTCGCCTTCCCGTGAACAGCTGTCGGATATGTTGCCACGTTGTTTCTCCGACTCTCCGATCACCTTCCCTCTCACACACACAGTTTTGAAGAGTGTGTTTTTTGCTCTTTACAAGGAGCCGTTACGTTGAATGATGAGATGCTTTCAGGCTCTTTCATCGAGTTCTCAGTAAAAGTTGGGGTCTGTTCTGTCCTGCTGCTGTGTCTGGAATATTAGGACTGCATTTCCCATAAAACTCACAGTTGTATTGTGCAGCTTCCTGTCAGTCCTCCTCCTCCTCCTCCTCTTCTTCCCTGGAGGCGATGAACATGTTGGAAACCATTTTTTTTCTATCTTCAACCATCTGCCGTCAGCAGAAAGTCTGCTGCCTCGTGAGTCAAAGAGGATCTTTTGCTTTCTCAGTCAAAAGGTTTTTCTTTTTGGCTTTAATGGGGAGAATAAACATGTTGGAAGTGATTTTTCCCATCAGCTTTCCATCCCTTCCACCATCTGCCGCCAGCAGAACCTCAAACTCTTTAGATCCGTTCGCTCTGGAAGAACGGCGCCCCCTACGGGCTCGATGCTAAAAAAGCAATCCGGCCGATCTCTTCAACATCCGACCCGGCGTCAGCTGACAGGAAGCAGCTTGTAATTAATCTGCAGCGGCTTCTCTTCCCTCAGACCAAAGAGGAGAAATCAACATCAGCGTGGGAGGTTTTGAAATCGAGGCGAGTGCTTTGGCGTTCAGATGGCGCTGAGCTGCCAGCTAAACAATCACAGGCTCCAGAGCCGCGGGGTTCAGGCCGAACGCAGCGGGGGGGCTTTGAGGGGGGGGCTGTCACTCAGACTGTCTTTACGTTTCTACATCTGACTGTTTGTTTGTGTTGGATACGTGCTGATGCTGTCGCCGTGATCTCCACCGAGAAGAAGAACGATTCAAATATCACCTTGAAACATAACAGAGCATCATTTAAATATACACGCTGACAGATGAGTCATAAGTCAATACTTTCATTTGATTTCTGATCCTTCAGTTACAACTTCTCCACAAAGTCTGAGCGAAAACTTAAACAAGAGTTAAACATTTAAAAAGTTTTGGTTTTTTTTGGTGTAAAAGTGGGAAGTTACGGCTCCAGTTAGGGTGATGACTTCTGCAGGAACAACAAAGTAAAACTGTTTAAATCCAGATTTAAAGAGCTGAACGAGCACTTGTGGGTCAGGAGGGAGACGAACAAGGAAACAAAAGACAACAAAACAATAAAATGAAACTCTGAGAAAAGCTCTACAGTTGTTTTATTGTTCTGTTCTGTTCTGTTCTGCCCGGCTGATTTACACTTAACGCTTATGTTTAAGCCTGAATTAGTTCCAACTGCTGCTGCAAAGCTGAAGTTTTCCTTTATGTTTGATTTAAATTTTAAAAGCTGTGATGTCTCTTATTTCACGGAGCTCTAAAGCCCCAGCTGTTCCAAATGATTTGACTTTTCTTCCTGAGAAATAAAACAGCGGCTACAACAGAGAGGAGGGAGAGGAGAGGTCGCCTGGGACCGGACCTGGAGCCCCTCCTCCACAGGGTCTCTGCGATTGTTTAGGTCTGATTACTGTTTGATTACTGAGATCACCCTGAAACGATGGACATGTCTCACTCTCAACAGTCGCCATCTTGGCTACACGGCAGAAGGGGAGGGGCCACCGGCGTATTTTCAAACGACCGGAAGAGGAGGACACGTCGTCGACGCAGGTGTCACATGACACACGTGGCACAAACAGGAAAGTACAACGTTCATTCTGAAGTCAAGTGAGAAAAAGGGCAGAGTTCAGCGCCGTGTGCACAGTGAAGTACAGTGAAGTACGTGTGAGTGCACGGACTGAAGACAGCACTGGACTCCAGAACCACTGGGTTAGATCAACAACTGAGTGTAACTCTGAGCTTTCCTCTTGGCCAATCAGCTTACTGGGTCAGAACCAGCTGACGGCACAAGGCGAGAGAGAAGAGAAGTTCCCTGCAGGAGGGAAGAAGACGGGACACAAGTGAAGTTCAGAAAACGACCGTTAACCAGCAGGAGAAGCTTCGGTCAAATATTCAAAACCACAACATGAACCTTAAAAATCAAATCCACATCACACACAACGTCTCTCACACAAAACACACACACCGCAGCCGTGAGCTGGTGTGTTCTCCTGCGGCAGGAGGAGGAGGAGGAGGAAGAGGAGGAGGAGGAGGAGGAAGAGGAGAGCATCATATATGCTCCAAAGAGCCAATTGTCACATTTAATTTCACACAGCACATGTAGATCAGGCGTCTCACAGTTCGGCATGTGGCCTTTTCAGTATCGGGAGGGAACTTCAATTCATCCTCACGAGCTGCGTCCGTGGTCTGAATCCCTCCCGGACGGTGGACGTGTCCAAATATTTCCTTCCCTTTCTCTTATGTCAAAGTGCCGGAGAAATAGATGTAAAATATACTTAGAACATAAATTAAATATGAAGATCTGGACACAGAGCTGATATAAACGAAGCTCTGAGCTTCTTCTACTGCGCTTTTATCCACCTCGCCTTTCTAAACAGGGTCCATTAATAATATTAGAGGATGTATACTATCAGCATAATTCAGCGTGCAGCAAACTGTAAAGGTCACCCTCAGTGAAAGAGCCAGTAAACAGGAATCCCCTCGCTCTCACGGGCGCTGAGGTGGAGGAAAACGACTCGCGGCACAATTCTTTCCACTCGTAATTCATTTTACGGGCGTTTCTGTCCACGATCACAAGGGCATGTGAAGTTATATGGAACTTTAGTGACGATTCAGTGACAGGAATTGTTCTCTTAATGTCCCGGATGAGCGAAGACGACGCGGCGTCACATGGAGATATTCCCTGACGCGCCGCTGTGGAGGTTTGATTCAGTATCTGATGAAAGGAAAACCACGTGTCTATGCCAGCTAGGCTAAAAGCTCGTTAGCATTACATCATCAAGACCGGACAAAAGGCGCTCATTTACCAGAGGGGTTTCAAACCCAAGACACAAATACTCTACGCTGAAACAAAAGCTTCTTTCTGGAGCCGCCATCTTGAATGGACTCTACTTGTATATCTGCTCTGCAGTCTTATGGACCACTCGCTGACGGAGCAGACATCAGAGGCATCGGCGGGTTCAGTCTCTTGCCCGAGGAAACTTCGACTCATGGGAGTTATCGTCTTCATTGACATTTTATTCTCACGCTCAGATTCCTTCAGTCTTCATTGTCTCTTCAGAACAAACAGACCAGCTGATTAAATCCAGTAAAAATCAGTGTGATGCTCTTCAGCAGACACAGTCAGGAGCAGCTGTTTGCTCTGATTGTTTCTCTGACACTCAGGCGATAGTGACATGGTTATGAAAAAAAAAAAAGATGGCGACATGAGCTGAAACAGTGAGGAACAAGTCAGCTGGAAGTGTTCTGACTTCTGATGTAATGTAGGATGTAATGGAGTGTATCTGTGATCCTTCACAGGCTGGCAGGCCACCTCTGTTTACACACTGCGCACACACCAACACGGCGCAGTCGCACCACCCTCGCTGAAGTTGTCACAAGGCCTTCTGGGAAATGCAGGAAGCCACCGACTGAAGCAGAAGATGCTGATAACACAAGTTCTCAACTGTGTGCAACAGTCAGTCATTTGACCTTTTCAAATCAAACTAATTTCAGCGTCCAGACGCTTCAGTCAGAGTCCAGATGGCTCAAACGCTCAGCTCAGGCTTGATCTGGTGTTTGCCTGCGAGTCTGTTTCTGGACAGTGGAGGTGAGGGAGCCAGCTGTTGGAGCGCCGTCAGCCGGCTGCTAACCAGCTGCGCTGCCGCTCCTCGGAGCCTCGTTTCGCTTTACTGTAAAAAGCCTGATGTCAGCCGAAGTGAGGAAGCGATCGCCCGCCTCTCTGGACACTGATAACAAGAGCGGCGAAGCACCGGCCATCTGCTCCGACCCCCGTGTGTGAGGGGGAGGTCACCCGCGCCCGCATGCTTCCCCGTGGATCGGACCAGCTAAGCTTTCAAGTGCTGATAAGCCAAAATGTGATTGTGTGCAGTGATTTCTTGTCGAATACTGAATCATTTTAGTTGAATAAAAAACATCAAACCACAAGATCCATTTAGTAGTTATTCTGGAGCTTTCTACTGTATAATACAATCTTCCTCTACAATACAAATGTAGAGATTAAAGCTCCATATTTTCTTCTTCTTCTGTGTTTCATCTGAAGTGTTGATCCATCAGAAGATATAAAAACCATCTCAGTGTAGTTTCACATCTCCTCTCTCAGGCTTCTCTCTGCAGCTCTAGTGACAACAGAGCCAATCAGAGGAGAGGAGGCTCTGAGCCTCACGAAGATGAAAGGCTTATTTCCATTTTCATGCAAAGACAGTAAAGATACGTGAGGCCGGATGACATCACAACACCCTCCAATTAAACCCTGTCATCATAATCAAACATCTGGAAAACATCCCTAAAGTTTCCCACAGCCTCACTGTAATGTTCTGTTCACTTCAAGGTTACCGTGATTCCCTTTTTATATGCAGAGATAACTTCTTTTAACTCCTGAGTCCGCAGACGCTGAAGCAATGAGCGCCATGTTGACTTCAAACCTGTGTGAGTGTAAGTCTGTAACAGCAGCTGTGGACTGGAGGGAACGAGTCTCCCAGCTGTATAAAGATGCTCTGCTGCTGTAAATGTCAGTGTGCAGGTGTTTGTGTGTATCTGCTAGAGCTGTGTTTCAGTGTGTGTGTGTGTGTGTGTGTGTGTGTGTGTGTGTGTGTGTGTGTGTGTAGGCAGGTCTCTTACTTGATGACCGTTCCTTTGGCGCCCCCTGCTGTCGTGAGCATGACCCTGGTGGTGAGGCTGACTCTCAGGTCCTCCTCCTCCAGGCCCAGCAGCTCGGCGCAGTGCTCCAGGGTCTGACTCGACTGGTTCCTGATGGTGCAGCCGCCTGCAAGACGGGGAGAAGGGCAAACATCGTCATCGAGGCTCCTGTCAGGCGTCCGAGGCGGCGAGAGCTCACAGGTTTTTGAAGGGAGCGCTGTCTTGTCATAATATACAACTGTGCAAACCTCTAATCTCCAAAATGAGCATCAGACACTTTGACCTGACAGGAAGTGGAAAGTTTGGAAACTTGAGCACAGCTGTATTTTGTGAACGTCAGCTGTCACACTAAACACCTAAGACTTATATTTGTCATATTACACTATATTGTATATTCTACACGATATTATTGTACTATATGGTACATTATGTTCTAATATAGTAATATAATCCCTACAGTTGTATTTGAGTCTCTGTCCTCGTGCTGCCGCCTCACCTGGATTTCTCCTCCAGGCATCAACGCAGGTGAGTGAGGTTGTTTTTAAGAAATGTGTTTCAGGCTTTAGAGAAGATGAACTGTTAGTGAGCGCTGCTGTCTCACAGTCAGGAGGTTTATGTTTACTTCCGCTTTCCAGAAACAAACGGGTCAACAGGGCGATGGCAGCCGCAGCGCTGACCCGACCCGACCCGCCTCTGATCTGCAGCTGCGGCACAAACCGAACTCTCACAACGAGCCAAAGGATTAAGTGGGAGTAAAATACGAGTGAAGTCATCTTTTAAATCCTCCACATTCCTTGTGCTGACATATCGACGAGCCGGGCCTGCGTGCGACCCCACATGGCGGCGAGGGCGAATAGTCAGAGCTTATTAAGTATGGATGCTCGGAGGCATTAACAGATTCAAGGTGAGCGAGTGAGTGTTAACACCCACGTGCTGTGAGCCGAGCGAGTCCGGGGAGAGACCAACAAAGCCCAGAAGGAAGCGGGTGGGCTGGAGTAGAGACGGGTAGAGACGACGCAGAGGAAACTCGATTCATACTGAGACCTGAGAGAGATCTGGGTTTGTCATATCGTCTGCAGCAGCAGCTGATGAACGGAGGTGAAGGTTACACAAGTTGACATCAAGCCTTTGATCAGTATGTAAAAGCTAATTAATTATATTAAGATTATTTTCCATATTGATTTAATATTTCTAAATTTTACTAATCGTCAACAAATCCTGTGGAAAAAAAAAGAAAACTAATAATAAATTCCTCTAAAATATAAACATTCATTGTTTATTTTAGTTCTCACCACACAAACAGGAGGATGTGATTTGTTGGGGACTATTTTCAGCGGCGGATTGATCCACATTTGGTTCTGTAGTGAGTTTCTGGGGCAGCAGGACTGAGTGTGTGTGAGTCAGAATAAACTACAGTGTGTGTGTTCATGGAGATGAAGGAACATGTCATACAGTCACTGATGTGTTTTTAATGTGTTTGTTTTGGGATATTTGACACTAAGAAAAATATAAAATATCACCTGATTCATAATTGAACCTGTCGAATATGTTTTTCAACAAATGTATCAAGCAAATAGTCAGATGGATCAATAACTTTGTGATTTCCAGTGGGAAGACTGGTTTGATTTATACAGGAAGACCTAGTGCAGCGCAGGACACGTGGTGAGTTACGACACCTGCTTTCAGATGCAACTGTAAAACAGTTTCATACATAAATATTATTCTTAAGTCAATTAAAATAAATAAATAAAACATAATGGCAAAAAAAAAATAGAAAAAAATAAAACCTATATTTGACCACTAACAGTATGTGATGAGGTCGAATCAGTGCATTAATACTAAATCCACTTTTTTGAGTTGGTGAATTAGACTTCTATTGTGTTCACTGTAACAGAGCTGTCAGGCTTCCAGTGTGTTTTGTGGGGGGGGGGTGGTCCTTCAGCTCCATAGAACAGGACTTGACTTTCGAGTTAAACAAACACACCTCGGTTTGCAGACCAAACTTATTTGACTTCTAGATGTTTTTCCAAACTGAGAAAAGCTCTTGTTCTCTCAGCAAATACAAATAAATGTTCTTTAAAACGTCCCTAGAATCCTCCCTCGAGGGACCTCCATCCAAACTGTGAGCAAAGCCGTCCCAAAAAAAACTGTATGATTACCTGACTGAACACACTCCTCTCCTCACTCGCTGTAAACCAGGCGGCATGATACCCACCCGCTGTGAGAGCCAGTCTACTTAATAGGCGCCCCGCTGCGCTCCCTCCTCTTCACTTGCAGCGGGAGAAGAAAAAAAAAAAAAAAACGATGGGGAGGAACTGAGAGCTGAGGAACTTCGCTGCTGAAGTTCAAAGAAGCAGTTGATTTTCATGGAAGCTGAAGCTCCCTGGGGCGTTTGAGTCTCTAACCGCTCTGGAAAAGGAGGCGTGAGATGGGGTGGAGCGTCTGAGACAACCGCGCTGAAATACGCCTCTTGAAACGTAGAGAAAATAACAATCAAGATAATAGCTTGAATGATTTTTTAAAACTATGTAATTAGAAACCCTTGAGTGAAAGTAACAATTCAAGAGGTTTAAAGTCATAAGTTGCTCGTCTTGATTCCTGGGATTTAATTTCATATGAAAAACAAAGGGTGACACCAACGTTTTCAACAGTGCAAAACTTTTGAGTGAACTGAGAAGGAGGGAGACGGGGGCTGAATATTACAGCGATCAATCAAAGAGCAGAGTCTTGAGGGATGAGATCAAAATGGCACCTGCCACTTAGGAACCAAACCGGCGCCGTTTGGGAGAAGGAGAAGAAGAGGCCTGCGAGATGGATGGTTTCTGATACGGAGCAAATGCAATCACAGAGCGCTGCGGGCTGGAAACTCAGGATCATCAGTTAGAGCCGATGATAAACTGTCCATCAGATCACATCTAGAGTCTGAGCTCAGGTGATTCATGGCAGCTCTGATCAGGTGGGATCAATTCCTCCGCTCCAAGTTTTTTATTATTTATTCGGGGCAGAGCACATTGTGCCAGAATTAGCCACTGGACAAATGTCACATTACCAACATTAAATAGTACTTGAATATAACGGGCAGATGCTATTTGCACCCAGAGTGTATGGCCAGTGTGGCTATTTACACCCAGGTGCATAAGGCATGTCAGAGACAAGCACCCAGGTGTCTGCAGCCAACAATGCTATTTGTACCGAGGTGTCTGCAGCCAACAATGCTATTTGCACCCAGGTGTCTGCAGCCAACAGTGCTATTTGCACCCAGGTGTCTGCAGCCAACAGTGCTATTTGCACCTAGGTATCTGTAGCCAACGATGCTATTTGCACCTAGGTGTCTGCAGCCAACAATGCTATTTGCACCTAGGTGTCTGCAGCCAACAATGGTATTTGCACCTAGGTGTCTGCAGCCAACAATGCTATTTGCACCCAGGTGTCTATAGCCAACAATGCTATTTGCACCCAGGTGTCCATAGCCAACAGTGCTATATGCACCCAGGTGTCCATAGCCAACAATTCTATTTGTACTTAGATGGCTGTAGCCAATGTGGCTATTTACACCCAGGTTTCAGGCTCTCCTGGACCACTTCAGAGTCACAACAGAAGTTCTGACAGAAAGGCTTTCCAACATGTGGTTAGATTGTGAAATGGTTTATTTGGTTTATATGGTTTTCATATTATAATCTTTTCACCTAACAAAGTAGTTTTAGAGCCTGAACTGAACCAAACTGCCAAACGTGTGCCACATTTGCCAAATAGTCAAATTTGACTGTAGCCTTTAATCTGCTGGTGCAGGTGACTCATTATAAAACTGTGCATGAACTACATTAGACCAATAACATCTTCACTTCTGAGTTCTTTAATTATCTCAAACAAAAAGCCTGTAACGATGCCTTTGAGGTTCGCCGTCCTTGTGTTATTTTGTTTGTTTTCTGTCTGTTTACCAGAGTCAAACAGTTCAGCTGCTCCAGACTTGCACCGTTGTGACTTTACATCGTCTTCTCTGATAAATGAGCTGCATGTCTCTTTTCTGACCCAACGTCCCCGCATGTTTTTATGTTTTCTAGAGATATAAACGTATCTCGGTTCATTTGAGGTCTTCCTCACTGCAGTGCGATGTGAGCTGTTCACATGTCTCCGCTTTCATCCCTCCAAGGACGACTTCCTCTACATACCACCATGTGCTTTGAGTGAAAAGAGGTGAATGAGTGCGACGTCTCCAGTAGGAGGGAGACTAGGCTTAAGTGGTTTTTACATTTTATTGAATTTGATTCATTGATCCTCGTTCTTATTTAAATCCATATCATTTGAGTAATAAAAGAAGCCAGACTTTACATAAAGCATAAACACATTTAGGCTGCGATTAACAGTAATCTCTGATAATTTATAAGGTATTATTATCATTCATTTAATACTCTTTGTTGTTGAATATTGTCTGTTTTCCTCTTGGTTTCAATTGAGTTCAACCCCATTCACACTAGCATCATGTCTCTGGGGAAGGTTTGATGATTTATACATTACCTGCCAGTGATTTTAATCCTGTCTGGAGAGAGTAATAATTACAGCCGCTGTACCTACTGTTTTTAAGGCAAACTCGTCGGTCCTCCTGTAATTTAAAATCACATCCAGAGCTTTTTTCCCCCTGAGGAACAGCTGCTTGTCCTTCTACTTTTCTTTATTTTATTTTAAATCAGCACGGTGTGATGTGTGGCTCTCAGAGGAAAAATGGTAAAATTCAAAAATAACACCAACATACAGGAACTAATATAGTGATGGAAAAAAGAAAAGCGAGCTTATAAATGAGCTGTAATAACATCAGCCACAGACCGGGATGCTTTTCTCTTCCATCCATAAAACACATCATATCCTGTCACTTCCTGATGGTTAAAATGTCGTCTGGACCGATGAGTTCAATTACATAGTGAAAATTTCAATTCCAGTTAGCAGCATTAGCATTTTCATGCTAATTTCTTTTTTTTTTCCATAAAAGTCAAGAAAATACAATTGTGAATAGTCTGTGTTTCCCCTGAGTGACGTTATTCGAATGAAGACAGCTTTTTTCTTGGGCGATATGATTCCGATTAAACATAACGATTCAAATTGCGTATTAAGCAGGTCAATGCGAACGCACAAAACAGATTCTCCTACGATTCTGCATCCAAATAATCACGTTTTATATCTGGATATTATTGTTCACAGATTTCACGCAGAAACAAAAAGCATGTTTCTTTCTGTAATCTCAAGTTCTAAGAAAAGTTGAGTTATTTCCTTCGTTCAGTTTCTGAGGTATTTTCATATGTTTCTGTTCGGGGCATTTGGCAGCAGCTCACCTGACGTGCTTCCCGCCTCCTCGAAGTCGATGTTTCCGAGGTGCAGCACGCCGGCCACCACCCTGAACAGGTCCAGCTTCTCCGTGTCGTCCAGGCCGATCTTCTTCATGGCCACGCACATCCTGTTGAAGTCGCCGTGGTCGTCCAGCAGCGGGTCCTTCAGAGGGCCCGACTTCAAGTGCTGAGGAGCCAGGACAGAGCGCACACGGTTACTAAACTCTGAACCTTCATCTCCTTAAACCATCTGCTCATTTATCCTTTTTTTTAAAAAACCGTTTCAACTCATTTACTTTTATTCTGTCTTTCCAACTTTCTCTCATCTTCACTTTCATCTTCCTTTTCGTCGCCCCCTGCGCCCTCACCTTCTCACCCTGCACTAACAGGCACCTCTCTTCTTTTAATCTTCTTCCAAACTCGTTCTCCCTCAGCTATTTACCTGCTTCCTCTTTTGTGTGCATTACCTCGAGTGTGTTGTGTGGCTTTATCTAAGCAGCATTTTAAAAACATCGTTTGATTCTACATTGACTCAACACGACGTATACAACTCTCTTTTCCCTGGGATGTATTCTGTACAGAAAAGTGAAAAGCAGAATAAGCAGCACACGACAAAATCTCCATCGGCAGCAGAGAGAAGGCAAAGACAGAGAAGGAGGAAACAAACACACCTGAGTAACCGGCTCTAGAATGTCACAGTCTGATGATATCCGCAGGCTAAACTCCAGACCCACCACTCTGTGTTTAACCAGCTTCCTGTTGGGTTTTCATTTCCCCATCGAGGCTCGTGAAGTCGAATCACGACAGTCAGTGGAAGGAAGCGACGGTCGCTGATAAAGTCCTGATAAAGCTTTGTCGCGCCCCGTGAGGCAACAACCGCTTTGGCAAATTCAGTTCAACAAGCGTTTTATTTCTCCAGAAGGAGCAAGTTTAACAGACTTTTGGAGGTTTTTTGCTTTTGGTTTGGTGAGAAAAATGCCACTTAAACTATCGACAAGGTGACAAACACAATGTGCAAGGATTTCTTGACAGGTGGACACATCCAGCAGAGATTCGTGCTCAGACAGAAATGTTTAAGAGACCAGAGTCTGGACTGATCATCTCATTCTGAAAAAAGTGAATGGCGTCAGGTTTGGTAGGATTGTTTATTTTATCGTCTTCTCTATTTTGGACTCTTCACTACATCATCATCATCATCATCATCATAGACGAGAAGGTGGTTTTTTGTCTGTGTGTGTGTGTGTGTGTGAGGAATATGTATCTCAGATTAAAAATAAATTTAATGAAATCTGGTAGAAAGTCAGGCCTTGAGAGAAGAGTAGATTCTTTCTTATGAGTTTCCCCTGATGTGTTTCTGCCCCCTAGTGGCCAAAACTGAAGTATTGCGGCTTTAATATTGTGAGAATGTGCATTTTTTAATATTTTTATTAGCTGCTTATGAAATACTGCATTTAAATGACGAAGATCTGGCACTTCTAATTTGGGATTTTTGATGCATATTATGATAGAAGTTCGATTTAGCTGAAATAAATTGTTGATTTGCTAAATTAACGTTCCGTCTCTTTGTATCAGGAAAAGAATCCAACCCAATCTATGTAAAATAAAAGTTATAGCTGTCTTTGTTTGTGCTGTAAAAGTATTGATCTGATGAGGCTGCTGGTCTCTGAAGACAACGACCGGACTTTAAGCTAATAAACATTATGTCTTGTGACGGGACCGTTCCCTAGAACATAACATGGAAACAGTAAAACATAAAGAAACTTTCCTAAATCAGCATTTTATTTTCTGTCAGTGTCAGTTTGGGACGGCGTCTTCACCACTGCACTGTGACATTCTGAGAGACACAACGGCGACCTCACAGGAGACGTCGGCTCGACTGAGACTCTACACAGCAGAGGAAAGCAGGAAACCACAGAGAGCAACTCCAGAGGTGGAGGGAAGACAGAAACGGCACATGCAGTAACCCCAACACACTCCGAGGAGATGTGAAGTTTCCCCAACATTCACATCGACTTCCAGATTCAGAGAGGAGGAGGAGGAGGAGGAGGAGGACTGAATCACCTTGTCATCCTGCGTGATAGGAGCCGGAGCAGTGAGGAGACATACAGTACATCATTTATCAGTGATTACAGCAAAGAGTGTGACTACAACTGACCTGGATCCAATTTGCAAACAAGGCTTTCGTGCATTTGTTTTACTGAACCTGAAGCACCAGGCGGGAGGAGGCGGGGGCGGAGGCGGGGGGGGGGGGGGTGAGACACCACCTTCAGATCCACACATTTGTCTTCCTGAAGTTTAAGCTGGTCTTATCTCCCCTCAGTGTGAAGCTACTTTAAAGTGAACGCAGGGGACTTCTCTCTAAACCTGGACTCTATCAGATCTTATCACCGCTGTCCTGCTGCCCTCTTCTTCCCTCTTCTTCCCTCTTCTTCCCTCTTCTTCCCTCTTCTTCCCTCCTGCTGCTGCGAGTCGAGTTCAGGCACAAAGCTGAGGATTTTTTATTTATTCATTTATTTTTGCAAATGCTTTTTCCTGCCGAGCATCTGCTGACTCTCCTTTTGAAGTAGTGAAATAAAGCAAAAGCCCTTCGCAAACTTTTCTCAGGCCATTTCCCAGGACAAAGCTCTTCCCTCCGTTTGTGTGTTTTCTCAAAACAGAACAAGACTCCCGCTCAGACAGACCTGCAGAGATCACAATAATAAGATGTGGGACAATTGTTCTCCTGCAGTATCTTCACTATTCGTTGGTTTGTTTTTGTTCAACTTCCAAATGTCTCCACAGTCTGACGCTCCTCCCGTCACCCATCACACACCCTGAATGTATTAAGGAAGTAGAGCTCGTCTAACACTGTGCAACTTTTGCTTTTCATGTAAATGATCTATCGTTTCCTTCCTCCCTGGCTCGTCACATGTATCTGATCTTTTCCTGACGTTTTATCAAACACAAGGAAATTGAAGACAGTTCTTTGAACACATGAAGCAGGACGTCTCTCTACACGTCATTATATTAACTGAGTTTGGGTTATTTATTTCTAAACAAGCGAGGAGGAGGAAAGAAGAAAGTAGAGGAGAAGAGGAAAGTGATCATCTGATTTTGACTGATTATGTCGAAGTAAAGATTTCATATACACAAATTTAAAACAGTTTTTAAATGTTTTGAAATGAAATGATCTCTTTAAACATGTTTAAAAACTCCTTTCATTGTTTTTTCTCGTTTTAAAGTGATGAGTCAATGATAGGAACTTTTATTTTGGAGATTTTCATGAGTTGGAAAATGTTGGGAACCACTGCTTTATGTCAAATATAAGAAATCCTGCAGCTACAGGAGATCATCAAACACTCAGGGTTATTATGATGGATAAAAATATCACAACAAACGATGATACATTATTTAAGGTTTGAGGAAACGTGAAAGCTGACAGATTGGATTTTCTAGGTTTCAGTGATCCCAATGTATTTAATTAGAAATCTATATAATTGGATTTATGAGCCTCAGCAGAATACTGTCTTCAGCGGGGACAGAACAGCACCAATCTCTGCTCCATGTTCCTCTTAATAGCTATAATAATTAATAACGCTGCACTGCGGGGAGCGCTGTACACAGCCCCAGTAATGGAATACTTGTGCATAATTAATCAAAGGCCGAAGGCAAAGGAAGAAGCTCATTTCACACGATGAGGTTTTCTTATTAATGCGGCGCATTAGAAGTCTTTGTGCTGCGCTGAGACTCTCGGCCCGGCTGCTAATTAAAATGTTTGCTGTTTGAAAAAGAAGCATCTGAACTTATTCTGGAAATTATGAGATTACAGGAGCAGTAGCTGGTGTGCAGGGAGGAAATCCAGGCCAGAGACAACAACGGCGCTAATGAAACATCTGAGAGGATCTTTGTTGTTGAGACGATCTGCTGCCGAGGTTCGTCTTCTTTAACATGACTGTAGCAAAACGATCTTTTAAAATTACACACATATATTCAACAGGATGCTTTGCCAAGATATTCTCAGCTTCACTGTCCAAGTTTCACACCTCAGCTGCTCGAGGGAAGAGTTCATCCAGTCGTGGGTTTGAACCTTAAAGCTCCTCCAGTCTAAAGGTCTGTGTCCATGTGTAGTGTGATTATAGATCAGGTCTAGCTTCTATATTAATACTGTGAAAGTATCAAAGCCTCAGTCCACAGAGAAATGCACACAGCCTGTATTCAGAAACTGAGCCTTAAAACCAGCCGTCAGGACTTCTGGAACTTTGTGATGTCACAACAAAGCAGTCACCAAGCCCCGCCCACCTGGACCCACCATCCAAACCTTGCAGGATTTGGTTTCTCTCAGTGTTTTTACCTGAAATCTGCTAATTTTTTATAGGATCACTCAGAAAACAGTCAGCCAATCAGAAGAGAGGATCAGAGCCTCCTCTCTTCTGATTGGCTCACCGACCTGTTGTTACTAGAGCTGCAGAGAGAAGCCTGAGAGAGGAGATGTAAAACTACACTGAGATGGTTTTTGGTTCTTAAAACCACAAATATATCTAAAGTGATTCTTGCACAGTGGTTTCACTTTAATTCCCTTCACAGCTGAGTTTGTCTTTATTCTTGGATGAGAGGGAGAAACACAAACAAACATTTATATTTTCATTCAAATAAAAAGAAAACTAATTCCCAGTTTCCACAAACCGGGATTACCTGGAGTAACCGAGGGCAACCAATAAGAAACCAATAATCCGAATCACACCTGATAAATCTGTTCAGCTGGAGATGCTGAGCAAACAGCAGAGGACGAGAGAGGGAAGGACAAACAGAGGAACAGAAAGAGAGAGGGGGAGGAGGGGGAGGGGGAGGGGGTGATGGGCTGTGAATCAAACGTCCTGCACAGTAAAAAGGAGGCGGTGAATCTGAATGAATCTGCTGAGTCAGGTTTGACGAGGCACTGATGGAGTCTGCGGAGCGACTGTTTCCTTTCTTGCGGCCCACGGGGCGACGGGGAGGCTTCGCTCCTCGCTGCTCTCAGTTTGAAAGAGCTTGTGACTAAGATTGAGAAAATGAAGGAGGAGGAAAAGGAGCTTTGTGTTTTACAGCTGAATGAAATCACTCACTCAATTATTCTCATGTGAATATCGTGAAGATTTGCTGCTTTTCTTTCTCCTTGTTTGTTTGTTGAAGAAAATAACAGAGGTGTTGTGATCAGAATGTGATCAGATCCGCGTGAACACTTCATCATACTAACCGTTTTATTGATTTTCACTGATCGTCCTCTCGCTGGTGAAACTTCCTCTGCTCTATTTGCACTTTGATTGTAAAGTGCAGTTCACTGAATCTAAAGTCGGCCATGATGAACATCTGAGGGTTTGATCAGATGCTTCAGTTTGTTAGTCAGCGGGTTAACCACTGTATCTGCTCGGCTAATTACAACTGTCATTAGTCCAAATCTGATCCTGCAGCAGCTGCTCATGTTTCATGTTTTCTTGTTAGTAGTTGTGTCGTCTGTCACGTCGACGTTAGATCACTGTCCTGCCAGAAGGAGTAAAACTCGGATCTATTGTCTTCAAATGTTCATTATTTCTCCATAAACGTTACCTCAGTGTTGCTAAATGGAACGGCACAAGAGAAGAAGAAGGAGAAGAGGAAGAAGAGGAAGAAGAGGAGAAATGAAGTCAGGTCAGAAGGAAGGCCGGCTGTACTGTACCTCTGGGCTCTTGCGATTCTGCATGATGTTCTTGTCTGTGTCTTTGGAGGCAAAGAAGCGAGTGCATCCTCTGTTCAGGTACTGCAGGACACAAAGACACAAAGACACAGAAGGAAACATTTCACTATTATGATGTGAACTTTATTTATACGACGCTGTAAAAGGACGAGAAGGAAGGGAAATCATAAGAGAGGATTCACTGGGAGCAGTTCCATTAACCCGCAGCAGGATGGAGGCCTCATGGAAACACTGAGTGTGTCTGAAACTTTCTGATCTGATCTCTTTCCTGGAGTTTCAGTCGTCACATTTTCTCTTGTATCTGCATCTGATGAGAAAGTCTGACTCCACAGTTCAGGATTCACCTCAATATCTCAATTTGCATTTGCACAAAGAGCCCCCCCCCCCCGTAACTGATTGTATACCTGTTTTCATTGCTGTATGCAGAGAGACGAGGTGATGACGACTCAGACGCAGATTTCCCAGGTGACTTAGGGGGGGAGGGGGGGGGGGTCCTTGTGGCCGAGCAGATGGACATAAACAAAAAGTTTCATTACAGAAGAAGCCACGAGGAGGACGCGGCGCTCATTCAGCTCCTCCGTCGCCTCCGCACATTCCAGATGGGACACGTTTTGTTCCCTTGTTTTCCATCTCTGCAGACGCTTGTTCAATCTCAACTCTTACAAAAAAATAACCCCCCAGTGTCGCCGTCGCTGCTCCGGTGGCGCGTTCAGCTTTTCCCTCCCGGACGTCTTACAAGACATCCAGAGAATAAAGGAAGGATGAGTCGGGAATGAGAATGAGCTTCAGGTGCGACGGTGAAACACGACGGGCTGTGATTGGTCGGGCTCCTCTGTGTGGACCTTCAAGTCTCAAACAGCATTACTGACACTGTTATTATCAATGGGCAGAATTAAAAGGGACTTTTATTTTGACACGTGAGGACTTTTATCTCCAGCTCTTATCTACAACTTTGTGAGTCACTTTAAACCAAAGCCATTTTTTCTTTTTTTTTTTTAATCTTAAAAAACTTCCTGAACTCACTTGAACGCACCTCATCCCTCTCCTCTGGTGCACAAACCCAGAGTCAGTCCATCACCGCTGAGCCGGACCCTCGTCTGCTGCTGACAGAGAACTCACTGAATCTCTTCGTCCTCTGTCCACCAGCAGGGAGAACTGGAGATATATGAAGCTATTAGAAGCTGCTCCAGTGACCGCGGGAGGTGTAATAAGTTGCCGGGTGGGTGGGGACACAGCGGAGGAGCGGCGGCGCTTTAAACCCAGAGAGTGATGCGTGTGAGAACAGAGCGTTGAATTGAGACGCTGCCAATAGAAGGAAGAGATTTTGTTCTCTGCTCCGACAGTGGAGACGAGAGTGACTCAGCTCTTTACTGAACAAAGACAAAGATCTGATCTGGTCAAATACACAATGAGGCACTTGAAAGCATCTGTGTTTTTCTTTGTTATGGATATTAGAGATTTTATTATTCCTTATTTTAATTTCTCTAATTAATTTTTTAATTAATCTGCAATTTATCTGATAATCATTTACCTGGATGCAGCTTCTCACTGGAGCAGATCGGCTGCTTTACTTTATCGCATGTGAGAGTGCACCGATCACTGTCAGGGTTTTAAACTTAAAACATCATTTTTTGATTGTTTTCATTATTTTCTGACTTTTAAAGAAACAAACAATTAGTCCATTAACAGAAAACATCAGCAGGACACTGATCCATTATGAAAATAAGGGTTAATCATGACTGTGTTGATGTGAAGTACGTACATCATCATGTCTTACTTTCTGTTCTAGTTTATCTTGATGGTGTTGCTCTGTCTGTTGGATATCGTCACCTGTGAAGACGTAGTGAACGTGCTGCGTCAGCGTTGTGTTTATAACGTGTTGCACTGCCTCCAAAAGACAGAAAAACTCAATTAATTCACCGTTAACAAAGTGTTTTGTACATTTGTGTTTTAGTATTTCTCCACTAGAGTTTTATTCCTGGCGACATGAAGAACACTTTGACACAGACTTTAGATTTTATTGTTGGGAATCATATCTGTAACTTATATCTGTTAGCTGTGTTGGGTTTGTAAGAAAGTGTTGTTCAGCTTCAGAGGTGCTGGGATGCAGATGCAGGCCAGCTGTTTCCAGCTGTTTCCAGTCTTTACGCTAAGCTAAGCTAAGCTAAGCTAACAGGCTGCCAGTTGTTGCTTCAGTTTCCTCATTGAGGAGCGAGAATGAGCAAGTTTCCCAAAATCTCAAACTCTTGATACTTTCTCAGCTCAGATTTCAGTTTTGAGTCTGAGAAAACAAAGTTGCATCATTTGGGTTCGAAGGTCGACATGTATGAATTGTTTTTTGTGAATATTTTTTATTTTGGTTCTTTAGCACCATGTAGTTTGCGAGCTGTTTTCTGAGAGCGTTTCCACGGATACGACTCTGACAGGCGAGACAGCCAAAGATCAATACGTCTGTCTGCGCCTTCATTTGAGCGACGGCAGTAATGTCTCAGCCATTATCTGTCCATTACCCACTTTTACTGCGGCCATCACTGTGGCTTTCTCTGTTTGTGACCGGAGGTCAGAGATTCATGTTCAACAGAGAACAAACCTGACGGTGTGATCGTCCTCTGCTCGCTCCGCCGCCGACAGTGATGGACGCTGAGCGGCGAGGGGCGCAGCAGCCAGATGGGCTCCAGCTTTAATACAGATCTGTTGCCAGAGACAGCTGGACTCAGTGACGGCTCAGTGCTGCCATCTGGCGTCCATAACGCTTCACGGCTCCATGGGCTCTTAAAGGCTGAGTCCCGCCCCAGCCCTGCAGCATGGAGGTTTATATGGGGCTTTTTATTGCTTCTCTTGGAAGGTTTGTGAGTCAAGTCGGTGAGTCCAGGTTGTATTCAGATTAATCAGCTCATGTAACGTCCCGTCTTTGGGTCAATAACATGGTGCATCATCATCATCGTCACAAGAGAGAACTGTGTTTCCTGCGGCGAGTGAGCGCCGTGAGGAGAAAGGAGTGAACTGGTGAAACTCGGGCGCCGTGAGGATCCGGTCGGGTTGACCCCGGTTTGGAGCGGCTCCAGTTCTCCTGGGGTTTATTTCAAACCTCTCTTTTCATCTGAGCTGGAGCTTGTTGTTTTTGGAAGTTTATTTCTGCACATCAGATCTCACCCAGCACCAAATGTGATGCCATCTGTCTGTTCCTTCATTCCTTCATTCATTCATTCATTCATTCATCCCACACATGGATTTATGAGCCACCAAAAGGACAAAAAGAGAGAAACTGAAGGATGTTTTGTCTCGTACCCTGAACGTGTCCGGGGAGCTGAGGTGAAACTTCTGCCTGATGTCCTCGGGCGCTCCGGCGCACAGTCGGTAGAAGATGTGGTAGTTTCTCTCCTCTGGACTCTGTCTGCAGATCCTCGACTTCTCCAGCAGGTAGTGAGACACGAAGCCGCCGACCACGGCGTTCTGACAACAAACACACAGACAAAACGCTAACGCCACAGAAACACACTAATACCCGTTAATAACTGTTTTATTTGACCATTTGTGGGCTGGTTGTGCTGCTGTCTCTGAGTTGAAGATTAGCAACAGCTATAAACTCTGTTTCATGCTTTGTATTGGAACTATGTTAAATTGCATCGTCCCTATTTCATAAATCAATAAACTAAAATAAACAGTTTGATAAAGTCTTGATAAAACGAAATGTGCTGATTTATAGCAGATATGCAGAAACACACGGAGAGAAAAGTGAGAAAAACTCATTTACTGTTTGTTTGGATTTTTGCTGCGTGAGCATCTAAGTTCTTATTCATGAACGCAGAGATGTACGTTAAGTGGATATGAAGCTCAGTACAAACAGTTCAAGCTGAATAACCACGGCGATTAGGCTTCATATTTAATTCATAACGTCTCATTGTTTGTAACTCTGAGCTCAGGAGACTCGCGCCGCGTCTACCTTCTCATTGAAGTGGATCTCCACAAACTTCC